CCTCACCTGCCACCTCACCTGCCACCATCTCTGGGCGCTGAGTGACAAGCTGTAAGAGCTCAAAGTTGAGACTTGGGAGAGGTGAGGTAGGGAGCCGGGAACCTCCATCTTGTCCTCGGATTCTAGCCACGTGTGGTGATATTTGCATATGAAAATTTAAAAGCACGATGTAAGGATGCTCAGATTATTCTGGGAAACTGCCTGCTAGTCTACGACAAAATAATGAGCGTTTCTTAGCTTGGAAAAAGAAATGACTTGTTTTGTCTTCTTGTTTTGTTTTCACTCACAAAAAAATTCACGGGGCAGGCTGTTAGTTCTGCAGCAGAAGGCCAGGAGCATCCTGGGAAGATTGCCAACACCCCACCTCCTGGGAGGAGGTGGGACCTCCCGGGAGGACCTGCTTTTAGTGCGTTGGGTCGTTGGGTCGCTTTCAGTCCTCGAGTTATCTCAGGTTTACCACTAGTGAATATGCATGAGTTTCGCGTGTTTATAGGCATAACTTTTTGCTCCTTTGCATTGGGGCTGCAAGCTGAGGCGCGCATGGGCAATTGGTACCAGCCCAGTCCCTTTGTCCTGAATTCCCAGCCCCTGCTCAACTCCCTGAAGTCCAGCTTTGCTTTCTTCTCTCATAGTTTATGCAGTTCAGCTCAGTAACAGGCTATGGAAACCACAATGTCTATCAGCATCCAATCCCCAATAGGTGGGGTGAATCCTAGGAACACCCTACCCCTGAGCTTTATCCCCAGCCCTTTTTAAAAATTGGGAATGGAACCACCATTAGACCCAGCTATCCCTCTCCTCGCTCTAAACCCAAAGGACTTAAAACCAGCACACTACAGGGAAACAGCCACATCAATGTTTATAGCAGCACAATTCACAATAGCTAAACTGTGGAGCCAACCTAGATGCCCTTCAGCAGATGAATGGATTAAAAAAAGTGGCGTATATACACAATGGAATATTACTCAGCAATAAAAGAGAATAAATCATGGCATTTGCAGGTAAATGGGTGGAGTTAGAGAAGATAATGCTAAGTGAAGTTAGCCAATCCCAAAAAAACAAATGCCAAATGTTTTCTCTGATATAACAAGGCTGATTCATAGTGGGATAGAGAGAGGGAGCATGGGAGGAATGGAGGAACTCTAGATAGGGCAGAGGGGTTGGAGGGGAAGGAAGGGGGAATGGGATTAGAAATGATGATGGAATGTGATGGGTATCATTACCCTAAGTACACGTATGAAGACACAAATTGGTGTGAATATACTTTGTATACAACCAGAGATATGAAAATTGTGCTCTGTATGTGTAATAAGAATTGTAATGCATTCCATTGTCATATAAATAAAAATGAATAAATTAAAAAAAGAAAAAATTTAATTTTAAGACAGAGTTTCGATAAGTTATTCAGGTTGGCCTGAAACTTGTGATCCTCTTGCTTCAAACTTCCCAGTAGCAAGAATTACAGGCATGGATGCTGTTGTTGTTTTTTTATTTTTTATTTGTTCTTTTTAGTTATACATGACAGTAGAGTGTATTTTGACACATCATACATACATAGAGTATAACTTCCCATTCTTGTGGTTGTACACGATGTGGAGTTACACTGGTCGTGTATTCATATATTCATATATGAAAGTTATGTCTGGTTCATTCTACTGTCTATTCCCATTCCCCCTCCCTTCCCTTCATTCCCCTTTGTCTAATACAATGAACTTCTGTTCTCCACCCCCCCCCCATCTCCTTATTGTGTGTTAGCATCCACATATCAGAGATAATGTTTGGCCTTTGTTTTTTTTTGGGACTGGCTTGTTTCACTTAGCTTGATAGTCTCCAACTCCATCCACTCACAGGCAAATGCCATAATTTCATTCTTCTTTATGGCTGAGTAATATTCCACTGTGTATATACACCACATTTTCATTATCCATTCATCTGTTGGAGGGCACCTAGGTTGATTCCATAGCTTAGCTGTGAATTGAGTTGCTATAAACATTGAAGTGGCCATGTCACTGTAGTATGTTGATTTCAAGTCCTTTGGGTATATGCTAAGGAGTGGGATAACTGTGTCGAATGGTGGTTCCTTTCCAAGTGTTCAGAGGAATCCCCATAATGCTGTCCAGAGTGGTTCCACCAATTTGCAGTCCCACCAACAATGTATGAGTGTATCTTTTCCCCCATAATGAATGACTATTTTTAATGTCAGAATTAAAAAAAAATCTCTAACCATCTCTAACCTGTCTTTATGACAGGTCTTTCAACAATAGTTGCACACATTTTGTAGAACATTGTGGGTTAAAATAATCCCCAGAACGCAAGTTCGGTGGCTGAAGGGAGGCCCATATTGCCTTACCAGCTCTACTTGGGCTGGGGCAGCAGAGGGCTCCCCTACTGTAGGTGACTGTTTGTGCCCTCTGGCCTTGCAGACGGTGGCTTGCTGCCTAGGTCTCAGCCAGCAGGGACTCAGTGAACAGAGGGTGTATTGTATTAGTTTCGATGTTGCTATAAACAAGTACGTTTTGTTTTAGGAAATAAATTTACAAGTTAGTGGGAGAACTGGAAATAAAATTCACATTGCCTGATTCCAATCCACTATTCATTTTTTTAAAAAACAATCCTTTTCCTTTTTCTAAAAAATATTTTTAATTATAGATGGACACAATACCTTTATTTATTTATTTATTTTTTTAATGTGGTGCTAGGGTTTGAACCCAGGGCCTTAAGCATGCTAGGCAAGTGTTCTACCACTGAGCCCCAGCCCCAGCCCATAATAACAATCCTTTTCCAATACACAATCTCAAAATAATGACATTGTCCCACCTTCTTCTACTTGCTCTACCAATTCTCTCCTAGAGGAAAACTACTCAAAAAATTTGCTGTGAATCTTTTTAGACTTTTTTTTTTGTGTGTGTGGAAGGGTATGTTTTGAACCAAAAATGAGATTGCATTCACATTGTTCAAGCCCTTTCTTAATTCCACAATATATAGTGAACTTTCTTCCATGTCAGTATTTACAGATCTTCATTCTCCCCTCCCTTTCAGTTTTATTGAGATGTAATCGAAGTACACTGTACATGTGTATAATGGACTTTATCCATATTTAAAGTGTACACTTGGATCAAGTTTTGGAATATGTGTACCCTTGTAACACCCTCACCACATCAAGCTCACATTTCCATTACTTCTGACAATTTCCTCATGTCCCTAGTTAATTTGCAGATTAATAGAAGCAGAACCCACATCATACTTTTCCCCTCCTCCTCCTCCTCCTCCTCCTCCTCCTCCTCCTCCTCCTCCTCCTCCATAGTTCTGGGGATGGAGCTCAGAGCTTTGCACATCTTCTTGCATCTTTGTTCCCTTTAATGATTTCAAAGTATGGGATCTGTGCAGATTAAAAGAACTGTAAGTTCTTGGCTGCTCTTCTCATTGAGAGGTGGAGTGAATTTCCCTCCCTTGAATCTGGGCCACCTTAGTGACTTACTTGACAATGAGCATAAGTGACCTCCTGTCAATGTCAAAAGAAGCCTCTGGGATCTCTTTGAACTCTGAGCCATTTAAGTCCAAATACCTTGAGGTCTTCATGCTGGAGGGAGCAAGTGGAGAGAGGCCCAGAGACCACTTGAAGATGTGGAGACTGGCCGTCACTCCCCAATGGTTTGGTCTTCTAGCCACTTTAGTCACGCAAGCTATGGCTCTGGACACTGTGAGCACAGACAGGTCTTTCTCAATGTGCCCTTTGGCGATTCCTGACCCACAAAATCATGAAGGGTAATCGTAAAATGGTGTCTGTTTTAGACGTGATTTTTTTTTTTCCTGGTGGTACTGGGGATTGAACTCAGGAGTATTCTACCAACGAGAAACATCCCCAGCCCTTTTAATTTTGTCTTAAACAGGTTCTTGCTAAGTTGCCCAGGCTGGCCTTGAACTTGAAATTTGAACTCCTGTCTTAGCCTCTAGAATAGCTAGGATTACAGGTGTCTGCTACCATGCTTGGTTTGAGTTTGTTTTTATGTAGCAATTGAGAATAGAAAAAAAAATAAAACCTCTTTCCCTGTTGATAAATATTTAGGTTATGTCCAATTTTTCCCAATAACAAAGTATCCTATGTGTATACTTTCCCCTCCCCTCCTCCTCCTCCTTCTCCTCCTCTTCCTCTTCCTTCTCCTCCTCCTCCTCCTCCTCCTCCTCCTCTTCCTCCTCCTCCTCCTCCTCTTCTTCTTTTTAAAAAAATACATGAGATTTTCTAAGATACATTCTCAGAGATAGAATTGCAGGATCAAATGGCTCTGCCCTTTTACTCCCTCTCTCTGTCCATTTCTCCAGTCTCTGATTTGATAGATGTTGGCAAATTTCCTTTTTCAAAGGGCATTTCAATACCCACATAAAATAAAATAGGATTCTTTCCCCTTTACCCTCCCCTAACTCTTCAATAATTCCTTTAATCTCCCTGTTTTTAATTTGCTTATCTCTAAATGGAAGATGGCAACCCGTACCCTGCCTACTTATAGTTACGATCAAGAGACCAAAAATGAAATCTGGGAACCAGGTGCCATGGTGCACACCTGTAATCTCGGCTACTAGAGAGGCTGAGGCAGGGAGGATTACCAGTTGCAGGCCAGCCTGGGAAACTTAGCAAGACTCCATCTCAAAATAAAAAGGGCTGGAGATATAGTTTAGTGGTAAAGAGCCCCGAGGCTCAATATCCCAGTATCAAAACAACAACAACAAAAATCTGAATAAGATCTTAGAAACAAGAAGTTGTCCACAATAATGGGGGGTCACTCTTTTGTTTGTTTTTACATTTTTTAGTCAGTTCTCCTTTTTTTGTTGTTTTCTCTCCCCCTCTCCTTTTCCTCTTCTTCCTGCTGATAGGGGGACCTCCATCACTTGGGGACGAGACTGCTCCGACTTCATTTTGTCCTCTCCTGAAGATGGCCATGCAATGTTTTCTTCTCATTCTCTCTCTCTCACACACATCATGAATATATATGTGTACCTCGTACTTATGGACATAGGCAATAGAAGTGTTTATTGTATCAATTCGAATGATTTATGAAACAATTACCAACACTTGAATAAAGATACTATGAGAATTGTAGTAGGAAATTAACACTGTAATTGTATCTGTTATAGTGTCCAGTGATTCAGGGAAAAGCTCATCACCACCTACAAAAATGACATAATAATAAGAAACTTGATTTGTACAACTCACTTGCTAGATGTTGACAAATTTCCTTCTTGAAAGGACATTTCAACATCCACATAAAGTAAAATAAAATACAAGAGGACTCTTTCCCCTTCACTTCCCTGGTATAACAGTGAATCCATTATAGGCAATTTTTATTTTGGGGGTGGGAGAGACTAGACAATGTTTATCCATACAGAAAAGACACTAGAGTCTGGCAGAGGGTGAACCACCGTATGTGGTAAGCCACATTTTCCACTACATTTTGAGCAACACCATATTGTTTAAATGTCTGTACTTCTATGCTAATGTTCTACAGAATAAAAATACCCCATAAAACCTGATGTCTCTGTTTCACTGTCTCCCCTTCTCCTCTCTGCAGAGCCAGCAGGTGACTGGTGGATCCTCCAGGCCCTGCTGCCCTCCCACAAATAGACCAGGCATCACTGTGCTCCTGTCTGCCTTCCTCTCCCCTCAAGTGACTTCACAGTAGCTGAGTAGAACTCTATCTAGCCTTGGCCCAAGTCTTTTCCTAGGTATCATCATCTGCACTGTCCACTGTTAGCCTTATGAAACACCAGTTGAAAAAAATTTTTTATAGAACTAAAAATGATCTTTAGATCAAAATACAGTGATCATGGATTTAGGAAAATCTGCAGTAGAAACACATTGTGAGACTCCAGCACAGTGGTATATGCCTGTAATTCCAGCAACTCAGGAGGCTGAGTCAGGAGGATCATAAGTTCGAGGCCAGCCTTGGCAATTTAGGGGACCCTCTGCAACTTAGTGAGATTCTGTCTCAAAATAAAAAAGACAGGGGATGGTGCTCAGTTATTAAGCACTCCTGGATTCAATCCCCAGTATCAAAACAAACAAACAAACAAAACAAACCTCCCCAAACCCAAACCAAAATCACATTGTAAAAATGCTTACATTTGGCACTTGAAGGATAACATCTGGGGCATTGTCTTCACAGAATTCAATCTTATATCTGAGATTGTAGAGATTAGTCTACCTGGAAGAAAAGAGAGTGAGTTTTAGGCATTTAGACAAATAGCGCCACGTCTGTAAATATCTATAAGATGACTTTCTTTAGGAAGTGGTGGTGGATTAATGTGCTAGAGAAATAGTGTTTTGAAGCTGGGTTGAATAATTTAAAAGGTAACTCAGTGGCAAGTACCTGTAGTTCCAGCTACCTGGAAGTTTGAGGCAGGAAGACTGAAACATCCTCCAAACAAATAAAACAAAAACTAACAATTTATCTTAAATGTCCTCCCAGAAGGCTCATGTTTTGAAGCCTTGTTCCCCATAGACCATGTGCTGATGGCTTGGTCACCAGTCTGTGGTGCCATTTGGAGGTAGAGCCTTGTGAAAGGAATTGTGGTCACTGGAGCATGCCCTTCAAGGAGACAGTTGGACCTACGCACTTTGATCTCTTTCTCTCCCTCCTTCCTTTCTGCCAAGTACTTCTGCTGAGATGTGCCTGCCACCTTGCAATAGGCCCAAGGCCAATATGGGCCGAGAAATCATGGATTGAAATCTCAGAAACATGACCCATAATAAATTGTTTCTCCTTTTAAGTTGCTTATCTCAGATATTTTGTCACAGCAACAGCAATCTGACTAAGGAGTTTCTGCAAACTTTAAGAGTTTGGGCATAGTGGGAGGTCTTTAGGTCACTGGGGTATGACCTTGAAGGGGACAGTAGGATCCTGGCCTCCTCTTCTTCCTTCTTTGGCTTCCTAGCCATGAAGCGAGTAGTTTTTCTTTGTCACGTGCTCCCTCCATGATGTGTTTCTTCACTAAATCAGCCAAGCCAAGTGACCATGGACTGAAACCTCTGAAACTGTGAGTCAGAATAAAACTTTTCTCTCTATAAGTTAATTATCTCTGGAATTTATTATAGTAATGGAAATTTGATTAACATACTTATTCTCGAGTGTAAAAGTCAATGTGTGTGCATGCACACACACACACACACACAAGAAACAAAGAAAAAAGAACGATCTGTTAATGCTTTGGGAGTGTTCACTTTGGTTAATAGGACCACACACTATTTCATTTGTCTTAATTATAACCCAGTCATTTTTCTCCAAGAAGATAAACATTTTCTACAACATGAAATTTTTGAAGAGAATTTTAGACTTTAGAGAAGTTGCAAAAATTGTACAGGGAGTTCAGGTATGCCCTTCGCACAGCTTCCGCTAATGTTATCATCTTACCTAACCATGGATATAATTAAAGACATGAAATTAACACTGGGACAATACTATTACCTAACTACAGACTTTATTTGAATTTCTGTATTTTGTAATTATTTTCACCACAATCTTCCTTTTTCTGCCCCAGGATCCAATCCAGGATTCCGCATTGTATTGGGATGCTTCCCCAGTCACCTCCAATATGTAACAACATTCCCTTGGTCTTTCCTGACCTTTGGAAGAATACTGATCCATATTTTGTAGGATGTCCTTCAATTTGAATTCATCTGATGTTTTTCATGATTAAAATAAGTTTTTCCCATTTTTGGTAGGAATGCCACAGAAGGTATACCATGCTTTCAAATTGTTATGTCAAGGAGTTTTATGATGATGTTGACTTAGATTACATGGTTAAGGTGGTTTACTAGGTTTCTTCCCTCTGAAGTTACTGTTCCCCTTGCTATTAATATATACCTTGGCAATATCATTTGGGTGTTTGCAAATTTCCATTTCTCCTTAAACTTTTGCTGATTCATTTTAATATCCATTCATCTATCTTGCCTGCTACAATTATTATTTTGATGTCCTATTGATGATTTTCTATTTCTCTAATTTTTTTGTTTATTGATTTGAAATTCTTCTCTAAGTTAGAAGGTTGTCTCTTCCCTGTTTTTATATCAGTATAGACAAAAGGGTATTTATTTTATCATATAGGTTACAATCCGATACTATCATCATTTATTTTGTGGCTCAAATCTCTGCATTGACTTAGTGGCAGAATAATATACCCTTTACATGTCTTTCCATCACTATCATAAATTCCTGAGATAACCAGCTTATACAGAGAAAAGGTTTAACACACACACACACACAACACATACAATTTTTTTAATGTGTTTCCATAAATTGGTTTTGTAACAGAGATATTATCGGATGTTGGAAAAGTTGCTGTTATAGGTTTTGATCTAAGTGGCGGAAACACCAACATGAAAATCACACTATGCTCCCAGACTACTCAGCTGTGAGAAGAAAGGCACTAGATGCCGGAGTTCACCAAGACTCCGGCGGGCGAGGTGACTTACGGCAGTTGTCAATAATTATAACAATACGTAACAATAAAGTTACTGATGTTAAAGAAAAGACTTCCGGTAGGGGCATTTCTATTTCCGTCAGAACCTTTCTCCTTCACTCTCTTCTGCTTCCAAGCCGGAAATATTTGCACCCCCGTTTAAAGCCACGTCGTTCCTGGTTTCCGTCCCACCCACACTCTATGGAAGAACTTCCGGGGTCAGGGCATTCCGTCCCGCCCCGCCCCGCCACCGCTGTGGTGCTGGAAGCCCGGGTTCTCCCGGAAGTTGTCCTGGCCTCTCTTTGGGGGTCCCCTCCACGCCACTGCTGCTGAGGGCCGCCGGGGCCGCGGCGATGGCGGAGGCGGCGCTGCTGCTGTCGGAGAAGGCAGCTGAGCGGGACGCTCGAGAGAAGCTGGCTCTGTGGGATCGGAGACCCGACACGACGGCGCCGCTGACCGACCGGCAGACAGACTCGGTGTTGGAGTTGAAGGCAGCGACGGAGAACCTGCCGGTGCCGGCCGAGGTGAGGTGACGGGCGAAACGGGCTGGGGCAAAGGGACACCTCGGGCGCCCCGGCGCCACCCCAGCCTCGCCAGCGTTTTTCCCGGGTGTCTGTCCACTCCTCCCGGGCCACGGTGGCGGATCCGGTGGGAGGGGCCTCGCAGGTCCCCCGGTTGTCAGCCTAGCACTTCCGACGACCCCGACTCTGCTTCTACGGGGGTTGGGCTGCGAGAGTGTCTGGGCGCTGGTGCCGGGCAGCACCCAGCCCGCTCCCAGAGGCGTGGGACGGTTGGCCTGGAGCCTTGCCCCTGGCCTCTTGCTCTAGGTGTCTCTGGTGTGAGTCCACTGTCTCCCAGGACGTGCACTGATCCTGAGGTGCTTTGCTGCTGCACTTTCTCCAGCTGATGCTCGTTTACCACTTTAATGAGTAATCTAGCTTTCTTTTTCCTTGGGAAGACTCGGATAGACCAAAACTTGGTCTTGAGTGGCAGTTTTCATTCATCGCACATTGATCAGTGCAGATTATGGGAGATTTATTTGGCCCATAGCAAAGCAATGCAAGTGAATTTTCTTTTAAAATCTGAGGCAGTACATTACTAAATAATGTTACTCTTCGGTTTTAGTGTCAAAGTTTTTAATCCAATTAATTTGGGGGTATTGTGCATGTTACTGCATGTGGGATTCTGTCCAACTGTTTATAAGGGCAGGAAGTACATTTTACAAATTGTTATATTTGATCAACTTTTTCTAGTTTTGAGGGCCAGATTTAGGATTATCTTATAAGAAGTCGTGATTACTTCTGATGTTGAAAGCATTCTTTTTATACAATTTGTGTCCAAGTGCAGATTGACTTCAGTGTCCTCAACTTTTTCTGCTCTCAGACTTTAGAGGTTTGATTTGAAAGGTTCTCTTCATATTTCCTATTGTGTGCTCTGCCATAAAATAAGTTTTCTTTCTTGGGTTCTCTAGGATGTTGTGCAAGAAGTGGATCTGAAATAAATAAGGAAGCCAGTGGAATTTTCTTTGACTTGGCCATCAGTCTTTTATGTTCTGGATAATTCAAGTTGTTTGCTCTGTAAATTTTCCTGTCTGTTTATAATTGATTAGACTTTGTCACCGAAGCAGGATGCTTGTACTTCATAGTGCCAGAGGAGCGTGGAGGGCATGTTCTACAGGAAAATTTGTTGTAAGCGGTTATAAACTATTTAGTTTTTTAATGGTATTGAGCATGGGGTAGGTTTGAAGTAAGTGGAATCTTGTCATTTCCACCTCACTCTTCCACATTATGCAGTGATACTTATTATTAGCTGCATGTAGTAATCATTTAACCTAAATTATATGCTGAACTAGGAATTGGGGATAGGAAGATAAATAAGAAAGTTCACATAGTTTTGGGGATCATGAGCTCACGTAGTTTTGGAGATCATGAGCATGTAAGAAGAAGAACAAGAGAGTGAGTTCAGACAGTGATCCATGACATAAGAAAAATAAATCAAATATGATAGTGTGACCAAAAGGAATGAGATGTGCCCTTTTAGACAATGAGGAAGGCCTTTTGGAGAAATTGACAGTCTAAGGTGAGAATTGACTATGGAAAATAAGAAGCCAGCCTTGGGGGGGGGGGAAAGTAGTACCAAGTTATGGTTAGGTATGTGCTTTATAAATTCAGAAATTCAGTGAGTTTCCCTGGAAAATGCAGTCTTGGAATTGACTTCCTGGGAGAAGGAAGCAGCCTGTTATTTACCCATCCTGGAATCTTTAAGGGGGAGATAGATAGTCTATTGCTTCTAAGTTCTCTGCAGCCCTCATTTCCTTTACTAAAGTGTTTGTCTGATGGGAAGTAATTAATTTTTTAAGTCTTTACATCCTTTTAACATTGGTGTTGGAAAAAAAAAAAGCCTCAATTTTCATTTTGTATATCCTAAAGAATTTTCTGTAGTGTTTCACAGTTTTCACAAGATAAATTACTTCCTGAACAATTGGAGCTGGGCAGGTTAGTGGAATAGCAAGAGGCCAGCTAACTCTCAGTAAATATCATAAAGCCATTAAATTCTTTAGAAGTTTGGTTCCTTTCCTTTGGAAAGGAGTTTTTTATTTTTTATTTAAAATTTTTTTAAAGGAGTTATATATTCTTTTCCCCATAGATTAAAAAAAAAAATTGCAGTAGACTAGTTTCTTATATCCAGGGGAAAGTTTTTAGTAGTTAGGGCCTTTTTATTTCTGCTGAATTTAGTAATTCTTGGTAAATGCTAAAATAATTTACCCTGAAATTTACCTGTAAGTTACTGTTATAGCTGTTGTTTTCTTATAGACAGTGTGGCTTAGACACACAGCCTCTATTTTCTTTATAAAATGGAAACTTATGGAGAATTATGAGAATATCAGTGCAGTCAGGTATGTGAAGTACACATGGAAAGCTTCTTGTTAATATATTATTTATGTGCTTTCTTTCAAATGATTTGTGACTTATTAAGAGAATAGATTTGAAGCCTGAGATTGAGCAGATATAAGTGTCACTCAGACCAAAGGTAAGAAGAGGAAGGCTCTGAGATTTCATCTGTAGCTCTTCAGTGATTTGCTCCAAAGAGAAAAAATAATATCAGGCTTCATTTATGGAGTCAACTGATCCAATTGATTATAAAAGTGATTTTTCTCTAACTCAGAGTTACAAAAGAAGTAAAGCTTGTTATTATTTTATTTCCTTGCCCCCTGGATTTATGGAGCTGGTCAAGCAAAGCTTGATAGTTTTTTGTCATTATTTAATATGTTAGCGTCTCCATTTGCATAAGCTATACTGTAGCTCTCCAGCCATACTAAGATCTATGCTCTTCTCTCTCTTGTGGTAGCTGTCCCATCTAGAAGCCAGGACAATGTGAGAGAGCCAGAAGCGGTGAGTTACCTCCTCCTCAGAACCAATGAGAGGTCAGAACAGACAGGTTTGAGACATCACCACATGACACCACCACACCCCTCCTCGACTAGTCACTCTATCCCAGCTGTTTTGAGAAAAGTAGTCGGCTGGGCAAATGTATCTAATGGGGGAATTTTCTCTAATGTTGTTAATAAACAACTTGTTTTGCTACTTTAAAAAATGATTTATTTGAGGTAGTTATATTGTGGTTTCTCTCGTGCTTGGTTGGAGAGAAAATGGTTTTATATTAGAGAGAATAAGGGAATAGGAAGCTGCCTTCTGTTTCTGATATTTAAAGTCCTTATGATTGAAAAGTAGTATTTATGCTTGAAGTAATCAGATGTTGTTTACTTAACAACATCTAGATACAGAATATGTCTGAAATATCTGTGACAGCTTCTCAGGTATCTAGAGTTTTCATGATTTTATTTTCTAAAGTAAATTAGAAGATAAACTTTTTAAAATTCAAAATAACACTGAGCACACGTATATGGCACCCCTGGGTCCTTTTGAAATGACAGTAAAAGTGTGTGGCACACCAAAACCAAAGACGCTCTCAGTGAACCTACAATTCTGGCAGATTATAGAAGGCAAGAAGCATATAGTATAACATATATAAGCATATAGTATAAAAATTAGTCCAAAGACTTAATCACAGAATAAGGAGTAATTATAAATTTTGACAGTAAAAGAGAGGTGGTATAGTTGATATATCTGAAAAGTAAATATAGAAGAAAATATAGGGGTACTAATTTCCTTATCTTACATAGGGAGGAGTCAATGGATAGAACCTATTTGATGAATTTATACATGAAGCTGTAAATTTGTTTTTTAGATTTATAGAATATCAAAAATATTGAAAATGGTTAAAATGAAGGTGGGGAGAATGTTATTTTTCATTTTAACTCTGCTGTTGATTTGGATTTTAAAAGATTATGTTTTTTCAATAATATTTATGAAAGAAAGATTGATAAAAGTTAGAAATTATCTCTGGTTTTCTTTTACTTTTAGAGTCTTTATCCTGCCCTCAAATTTTGTAGTTCTCAAATTTATAAGCATTGGTATTGCCTCAGAAGAGAGAAATTGGAAGGATAGGGAAGAGGGGAAGAATGGAGATCTCTACTTTTTACTTAAACATTCTGTACTCTTAGACTTTTAAAAGAATGAGCTTTTTATAGTTTAGTGACAGAACTATGAATTTAAAGTAAAAGTAATTCCATCTTTCCCTTATTGTTTATTAAAGAGACAATTGAAAATGCTTCATATTAGATGAAAAAGGCAAGATATGTATAGTGAACTGTTATTTGGGTTAAAAAAAAGTACTTTTTTTTTTTAAAGAAAAGGAAAGATACATAATAAACTAGTAGCATTGATATCCTGCCTCAAAGTTTGGAAGTGAATGGCTGGGAAATGTGTCCAAGGAAAGAAAACTCTTTACTGATTTTCCTTTAATTTTATGCTATGAGAATTTTTTACCTATTCAGATAAACACATTTAAAAGCACTTTTCTTTATAGTCCAAATGATTCTGGAACAAGAAGAATTTTACTTTTTGTCTGGAATTTTGAATTCATAAGAATGTGATTATTACATTACTTTCTCAATTGAAGAAATTGAAACAGTTGTAAATTCTACATGAAGAAATTCCCCCTGTACATGTTAGCCAGTTTCTTTTTTTATAACATTTTGCAAAACTGTAGTATGTGGTATCACAACCAGGAATTTGATTTTGTCATTGATTTATATATTCTTTAAAGATAGTTTTAGAATCTTTTCTCAGAGAGATTGAATTCAAGGCCTGGGTGGTATTGTAGAACTGAAGGTTTGCAATACACCACTTTAATTAGTCATAGTCTACCTTTAGATATTATATTAACTCATGTATAGTGTAAGAA